AGGTGTGTCTCCAGCACTTGTCTGGTACCTGTCTATCTCTACCCTTGACTGACCATTAAGGGGGCAGGAACTACCTACACGCTTTACTTCTATAATCCCTCCTGTAGTCCTGGTCATAGCAGGTGCTCAGTAAATGCTGGACGAGTGGCTACTTGGGTGACACGAGGACACAATAGTGTTAGTTCTCATGAGTCATTCAGCAAAATCATTTTGCTCATTTTTGTTCCAGCATTCTGCCTTAGCCCACTGGATCTCCAGACCTTGATCACTGATGTTCTAGGGCCAGGGGAACGGTGTCCGGACACTCCCCTGAGGTCCTGCCCTGGGATTGGTGTCCTGCTTTTCCAAAGTCTGCTTGTGGGCCAATATTCCCGTGCCCATCCATGCCTGCGAGAGAACAATGACATTTTATACTAACATGATTTGCCCTCTGTCACTTAATCTTCAACAGCCCTTTTTATCCTTTTATCATTTATACCACTTTCTCCAATTCACAGATGAGGAAACCAAGGCACAGCAAGCTTAACAGATTGTCCCACAGATACTGCCAACCTATGCCCCTTCCAAATTAGACAGACCTAACCACCCTGACTCAGGTGAAACATTCCATCTCTCCCAGGACTTGTATCTTTCTGGAAAATGTTCACTCATTCATCCATTCAACAGTTAAATACCTACTGTGTGTGAGTAGCTGCTCCGGGAACGAAAACCCCCCTCACCCTCCAGCCATGATCCCCATAAGAACCAGGTGCCTCCATCCAGATGTGAAACCAAGGGTTATATCAATGCTGCATCCAACAGATCCCAGAATGCCCTTTGTCCAGGGAAACCCAGCAGAGCCTGGGATTTGGGTCAGTGCTCTGCTGTGGGGCTCACAAGGCACCACGAATACATATGAGTGCCAGATGACGCCTTACTTCCCATCCCCCATGGCCATGGAGTACTGGGGGCAGGGAGGAGCACAGCCTGCCATGCAAGATGACTGGGGTGGGGGGAATCCTAAGGGCAGGACCTGTCTCCCCAGGATCTCCCTCCATCTGTCTCTCCTGAAAATCATGAGGATCATGAAGTTCAGAAGAGGTATGAATGGTCACTTGGTCTTCCAGCTGAAAATATCACCAATTAGATTTATTTGGGTTACAAAATTATTTCTTTAAAGAGCAAAGTAGGGCAGCCTTGAAGAACAGAAAGAACACACACTTCCGAGTAAGACAGACTTAAGTCCCACTGCAGGCCTCTCTGCCACCTAGCTCAGGGCTCAGAGGAATTAACTGAGCCCCTCTAGTCTTGGTTTTCTCATCTATAACACTGGGATAATGATGCCTACCAAATAGGCACATTGGGTTAAACACAACACATTTGTGAAGTACTGAGTCCAGTGGCTGGCACACAATACAGGCTTAATAAAAGTGTTGGTCCTGTCTCAGAGTGAGGGGTGGGAGGGACATAATTGCTGAACTGCACTTTTGTTTTCCAGCCAAGCCAGCCCCAGGGAGCAATTCCTAAGGTTCTGGATTACACATCCAAAGTGGTTCCTGTCTTAGGCCTCTGTTGTTCCTCAGGTCTTCCTGTTCCTCCTTAAGGCCTCTCCCAGAGTCCAGTGGCTCACAGTCTCCCACTGCTGGTGGGGGCTACCCTATGCCCCTTCTCAACCTACTGGAGACTTGGCCTGGAAAGCAGCCTTCTTCCAGCAATTTGGAAAACCTTGAACATGGCCCTAAGCAGGCTGGAGCAGGCAGAAACATGAAGCCATTGGCCCTTTGCTGTCACACTCTGTCAAGTCCTGTCAGACTCCAAATACAAGCAGGATCTGCTCACTTCTCCACCTCCTCTGTGTCCTCGCTGGTCTAAGCTTGCAGCCTCTCTCCCCTGTGATTTGCAATAGCCTCTTGCCTGATCTCCCTCTCTAGTCCTGGTTCTCATCAGTTACTCTCCAGCCAGACTGATGCTTTTAAAGGGAAGCCAGGTTCTATTGCTCCTTGGCTCCAAATCCTACAGTGGCTCCTTCACTGCTGCCCCTCTTATGGACCTCTTCTGCCACCTCTCTGGCCCCCTACTGCCTCCCTCCATGCCCTTCCTGGCTCTTCAGACCAGCACTGGGTCTGTTTCCCACTGAACTACAGCAGTGCTTTGCACTTTAAGAGGTTCTGAATTTGTAGCATGAAGGTATGAATGGCCAACTACTCTGAAAAAGAGCCCACCCTCCTCCTGTCAGCTTAATCCTAATAAGAACCCAGGAGCTGAGGTTAGGAAATGTGCCCCAAAAAACCTGTCCTGACTCCACTGTGGGAAGCCCGTGGGTGAGGAGCTTACAGTTTCCTAGAGACATGCCTCTGTCTTCAAACCTAGTGAAGCAAATGGATAAAGAACAGTGCCTGAAAATAACAAGCAGCAGGTTTTGCTGCAGAACCGGTCTAGATCCATTATAGCGATGTGGACATTTCTGAGTCCAAAGGAGGCACCTATGTGTGCTGGAGGAGGGCAAGAAGGGGACTGGAAAAGACTTCTGAGGGGACATTTGCGGTAGACTTTTGAAGAAATGGTAGGACTTTGTCAGGAGGCAGGGGCCTGGGAACGGGAACACCATGGAGAGATGAAAAGAACGCGATCTGAGAAAGTGATTTGGAGAGGCTCTGAGAGTCACGCGAGAAAATAGTATTAGTATTAGAATCTCCGCTCCTGCCAGAGATCAGCAGGTGGGGGGGCCCCGGGTCTGGCCAGAGCTCCTGGCAGGCTAGAGGTTGGCAACAGGTGGGGGGCCTACCAGGCCCTTCGGCCTCGTTGACAGTGAGGACACCCGCGGCTGCTCCCTTCTATCCACTCGTTATCCCCGCGGTGCCCACAGTTGACCTCCAGGGACACTGCGACCCTCCAGGAGGCGGGGCCCGCATGGCCTTGGTGACGTCACGAGGCGGGCGGGGCTCAGCACTGTGGGCGGAGACACCCGAGGGGCGGGGCCCAACGAAGCTCCCACGCTCGCCTCGGGAGGGAGACCGGAGGGAAGACCGGAAGTCCTTCCGCCTCCGCCCGCCTCCGTGCTCCCTTCCGTCCCTCCCTCGGTTCCAAGCGCGAGGTCGTGTCCCGGAAGTAAAGGGGCCATATTGTTGAGTGACCCCGAAAGAGGTACGGGGCGACAGGCTAGTCCTGAGGAGTGGTAGTGCGCGCGGCCCGCGGGTGAGTGAGGGAGGAGGGGAAGGCCGCCCACGGCCGGGGACGCTCTGCGCCTCCCCTTAGGGCCGCTGCTTGCGCCCCCAGTTCGGTCCGGGCTTGGGGCTACCGGCCCGTGCCAGGGGCTCTCCTCAGCCCACCCGGGCCTTGCCCGGACCCCGCCCCGCCCAAGTGCCCCCCGAGCCTCCCGGCCCCGGCCTCGGGGTCTCGGCCCCGCCCCCAGGGCCGGCGGAGGAACTGCACTGGCCGGGCCCGCTGCTCAGCGACCTTGTAGTAACAGAACCTCGCGTGACGGTCGCCTTTAGCTCGTCAAGCACCTCCGTGGGTCTTGTGCATCTCCCCTGCCTCGGGAGGCCCTTAGGCCCGAGGGGCGGCTCTTCTGCAGTTGAGGAAAAAGGCACCGGGTTCATGGCTCGCTCGGGAAGTTAGCAAGGCCCGAGGCCATGGCTGGTCGACTTTGGGCCCAAAGTCCAGACTCTCTTTGTCCAGTCGCGTACCTCTCCCTCCGGCCCAGTTCCTTATTTTTAAAACGAGGGTGGTTATCTCTTCCACACAGGGACGTGGGGAGGATTGTTTCTTTAATTCAGCGTGCTTTGAGTCCCTCGTGTGCGTGCGCTGTGCTGGAAAGTCGGTGCTGCACACATGGAAAGCGACCGCAGTCCAGGACGGGCAGGGTTGGGGTCAGGAGCAGCCGCCCCTTTACAGCTGTGGCCTGTGGGGAGGTGACTCCCCCGGGAGCGTCAGTTATCTCCACTTAACATGGGGATAATGGTGACCCTGGGACTGGTGCTAGAGGATGACTTACGTGACGGGTGGATAGCACGCCCAAGCAGAGTACGCTTCACTGCGGGATCTGTTATTGTGAACCCTGACCTCTTAGGCTCCTGGTTTAAATGTAATAATGGATGACAAAGCACTTTACAAATGTAGAGTGGTGCTTGTGTACGGGTCGGTACTTAAGGAAGGTGGTGGCATTTCATGTAGAACTGAATGTCATATTTATTGGTAGCTGTCCTTGATAGGAGCTCAGTATGTGCCAAATGCTGTTCTAAACATGCTCATGTACATTGACTCGTTTAATGGTAAGACTGACCATTTGGGCAAAGTACAGTGAACCCTCACTTTACAGATGAGAAACGGAGGCAAGCAGAGGTGAGGAAAACTGCCCAAAATAAGACAACTCATCAGTGGTCTCAGGATTCAAGCATGGCTGAGTCCTTGTCTTCAGCCATCCTGGACCATGCCTTGTGGTAGAGTTCCACTGCAGGTGCTTTACCTGGACAGTTCTCAAAATAACCTTATGTGGTAGGTGCTTTCGCCATGTCATCATTTTTGTTGTACAAATGAGGAAGCTGATTTGTTGTTCAGTGGGATTGAGTACCAGAGCTATGGATTCAAGGCTAGGCAGTCCAGCTCCAAACTCTGGTGAACCCTAACCTGAACTTTTTCTAGGAAGGCTGGACTCTAGCCCTGAAGTCATAGTATAAAACCTTGGAAGTCTCTGAACCCTAGATTAAGAACTCTCGACTTACATGGTATTTGTAGGCCCTGCTCCATTGGTTCTGATTCTGGGCTTCCTTGTCTTCTGTTTAGAGGACGCCCTGCTCCTGCCAGTCCCCCATGGCCCCAGGCAGCAGAGAGGCGGTGGTGAGTCTCTACCGGGCTCTGCTGCGCCAGGGTCGAGAGCTTCGCTACACTGATCGGGATTTCTACTTTGCCTGTATCCGCCGGGAGTTCCGGAAAAATCAGAAGCTTGAGGATCCTGAAGCCCGGGAAAAGCAGCTGGAGAAAGGCCTGGTCTTCCTTAATAGCAAACTAGGAGGATTAATTTAGGACCCTCTTTTTTTTCCCCTACCCTTCCTAATTCCAAGGGAAAGAGGACAAAGGTGCTTTCGGCAGACTCTCCAGCCCTCTTCAACCCCCACCTCACCGATGCATTAAGAAGCCTCAGGTAGGTAGGCCCTTGTTCCTGGAGGTTTCTGTGTTTCTGGTGCAGGGGAGTAGGAAAGGGTCAAGTTTCCCTGTAGTCCTTAGAACTCCATGGAGGAAGTATAGGTATGTTATGGTCTTTTGCATGCTAGTCAAGTGCTGTATCTTTTGAACCACACTTAGTTCAGAAGTAGATTTTCTTTTTTCTGCTGGTGGTACTAGGGTTTGAGTTCAGGGCCGTGCTCTTGCCACACAGGCATGCTACCACTTGATCCATATCCCCAGCCATTTATGCTTTCATTGTTTTTTGAGTAGAGTCTCACTTTTTATGCCCAGGCTGGCCTGGACTGTGATCCTCCTATTTATGCTTCCCATGTAGCTGTGATGACAGGTGTGTGCCACCATGCTCAGCTTTTTATTGGTTAGATGGAGTTCTGCTTTATAGGCATGAGCCACTGCACCAACCAACAGAAGAGTTTTTTGGGTTTTTTTTGAGGTGGGTTTTCTTACTGAGAAAAATAAGAATTTCAAGCCCCACGAAAACAGAATTACTGTCATCATTTCATAGAGGGTTTTTTGTTTTTTTTTTTTGGTGGTACCAGAATTTGAACTCAGGGGCTTACACTTGCTAGGCAGGCCTACCACTTGAGCCATTTGGTGGGGCTGGTCTGGAATTGCTATCCTCTTGATCGCTGCCTCCGGAGTAGCCAGGATTATGGTGAGAGCTCATAGAACATTTTTGTGAAAATGTTAGAAAAGACATTGGTTAAAACTTTTAGAGTTCAGTTCCAAACTGACTTGCTTTTCTATTCATAGTTCTACCATGTCAGATCATGTTTCCTAAAACATGATTGTATTGTTACAGTACAATCTATAAAGCAAGCATAATGTACAGATGTCAAAGTTTAGTGCCTGGATTCAAATCCTGTCACTGTTACTAATAGTTGTGAACTTAGAGAAAGTCTCTAAACTCTTCCAGGCTTCATTTCATCATTTGTAAAATGAAACTAATAGTACCTACCTCTTCAGATTACAATGAGAAGTGAACGGAACTGCACGCACAGCACTGAGGCTGGTACTTGGCAAGTGCTATGATAGCTCTGTTTCTCTCGAAGCTAGTGTCATCATGAAGTCCCACAGCAATATTCAGCAACCTCTTTAGAGGCCCTTTTATGGTCCTGGCATTCTGGAAGGCTAAATGAAAGATAGGACCCATCAAGGAACTCAGTCTAGGGAGATCAGTGGGAAATCATTCTAGTCTATGACATGAGCAGTGCTATGCTAGAGGGCTGTGTAAAGAGCCGTGTAGATCAGAGTAAAGACACAGCTCTGCCTTGGGGGAGGGAGTGGGAAGGAATTACAGGTAGCTGTAGAAAAGAGGACATTTGAGGCCTACTTCAATTGAGAAATAAAGGCTTGCTGGGCATTGGAGCAAGAATAAGCAGATGCTTGGCAGTGGAATCTGTACTGTAGCCCAGAAACTCAAATCTAGTATGGTTAGAGTGGTGCACCTGTAAGGCCATTGGCTGGTGTTGGGCTGGACAGGTATGGAAAGACATTGAATCCCCTATTAAGGAGACTACAATATCTGACTGTGAAGGCATCACAGCTTTGTAAGAAAGGAATGACATGGCCAGATTTGTGTCTTGGAGCATGCTAGGACAGTATGTAGAGTAAATTGGTGAGAGATATTAGAAGCAGCCAGTCTGGCCAGAGGGATCCAGGGATTGAGGTGGTAGGAGTAGTCCCCTGTAAATATAGCCTGCCCAACAGTGGAGCATGGTGGCTAGTTGGGTGAGGCAGGAGGTGAGAGAAGATGAAGGATAGCTGCGGTGGGCGGCTTGCCAGTTGGGTAGAGGGTGCTTTTTTTTATCTGAGAGGGAAAGCAGTAGAAAGAGCCTTACATAGTGGCTTTTGGTTCTCAGCCCCTTGCATTGATTGGCAGACCTGTCTTTGGCAATACAGGACCAGGGTGGGGTGATACCTGTTGGAGACTCCCAGCACATGCAGGGGTAGTAGATCTCCAATCGAAGTGGTGAGTTAATGAAATATTTGTAATTCTAGGATTTTTTTTCTCCTCAGTACTGGGGTTTGAACTCAGGGCCTACCCCTTGAGCCACTATACCAGCCCTTTTTTGTGATGGGCTTTTTCGAGATAGGGTCTCACAACTATTTGCCTGGGCTGGCTTTGAACCATGATCCTCCAGATCTGTGCCTCAGGAGTAGCTAGGATTACAGGCATGAGCCACCAGTGCTCGACTCTAATTTGTGTTGACTGTGAGTTATGCTGTACCTTGCCACCAAGAAAAAGAACTGGGTGTGGTGCCATGTCCCACAATCCCAGCACTCAAGAAATGGAGGCAGGAGGGTTAGGATCTTCATGGGCTACATAGTGACACTTGTCTCAAAACACAAAATAAACACAAATGCCACAGAGTTTATGGTTCATTCTTGCAACTGATACTTATTGTGTCAAATGTAGCAGTGCATATGCCCAGAAGCTTATGGTCTGGTGGTTAATAGCGAGGACATGCAATGATGTGGGCTTGCAAACTGTTAGTTCTCCCTAGCAGTTTAAGCTCTGGCTCAAATACTAACTGCACAATTTATTGACAAGATAAGTTACCTTGGGGTAGTTATTAAGCACCTGCCTCAATTTCTTTACTTCTAAATTGGAGATAATATTATGAACTAAGGGGTAAAATTACTATGTGTAAAATGCTTAGCGTGTAATATATACGTGGAGGTATAGGACTGGAGGTGTGGGTCAAGTGGTGGAGCACCTGCTTTGCAAGTGCAAAACCCTGAGTTCAAACCCAGTCCCACCAAAAAAAAAAAAAAAGTCATTTGCTGGGCGCAGGTGGCTCATGCCTGTGATCCTAGCTACTCAGGAAGCAGAGATCAGGATTGCGGTTTGAACCCAGCCCAGGCAAATGGTTCACAAGACCCGATCTTGAAAAACCCTTTTCAAAAATAGGGCTGGTGGAGTGGCCCATGGTGAAGGCTGTGAGTTTGAGCCCCAGTACGTCAAAAACAAAACAAACAAACAACAACAAAAAAATATATATATGCTTGGAGGGTATATATTTTAAAGGGTCCTGGCTGATGACACCTCTGTAAGAAGACAGGCCAACAAGAAAAAGGTTTGATTAGACATTTGTGTGATCAAAGTTTTACATGCATAGGAACCTTTGGGATGAAGGCTCAAAGACCCAGGGTGAGTTATCCTTTTTTGTTGTTTTTTTAGTGGCCCTGGGGTTTGAATTCTGTACTTGGTGTTTCCAAAGCAGGCACTCTTAATGTTCGAGCCTTGCCTTGAGTCCATATATATATGTCTGTCTATTTTTTTTTTTTCGGTGCTGGGGTTTGAACTCAGGACCTACACCTTGAGCCACTCCACCAGCCCTTTTTTGTGAAGGGTTTTTCAAGATAGGGTCTCAAGAACTATTTGTCCGAGCTGGGTTCAAACTGCAATCCTCCTGATCTCTGCTTCCTGAGTAACTAGGATTACAGGCATGAGCCACTGGTGCCTGGCATGGCTCTGTTTAATTTTGAGATGGGGTCTCACGAACTGTTTGCCTGTGTTGGCCTTGAACTGTGATCCTCCTAATCATAGCCCCCCAAGTAGTAGCTAGGAGTGTAGGTGTGAGCCACTGGCACCTGGCCTTTTTTTTTTTGAGATTATAGGCCTGAGCCACCAGTACCCAGCTAACTTTTTTAAGAAAAATAAGTTAAAAGCTTCAAGATCTCATCATCCTTACTGTGTTGGGGTGGTGAGTGTTTCTCTTCCCTTTTTTTCTGTCTAGGGAGACAGGTTAAATAAAAGTTACCTGAAATGTTGGCAGAGCTTAGATTCTCCATCCCTGACTACTGTGCCAGTGTTCCTTTTCTGTTTTTTATTGATTTATTTAAATATTTTATTCATGAATTTGTGTGTCATCCTTGCACAGGGGCCATGCTAATCTTCTCTGTATTGTTCCAATTTTAGTATATGTGCTGCCAAAGTGAGCACCTATTTTTTATTTTTTATACCATGTTAAGTGCATAGTTGATTTACTTGTATAAAGTATACCATGGAACAGTTCTCTAGAACTTTTTTCATCTGCTAAATCAGAAACTGTACCTATGAAACAAGTGTTCCTCCTTGATTGCCCTGAAGAGCCAGGCCATTCCTCCTGTATCTTAGAAAGCTGTAGGCTGGTGCAGCAGAACTTGAGTGAAGAGTATTCAGCAGGGAGGCAGGTTCACCTGGACAGATTGAAGTAAGTCTTAGGGTAAGGACCATGTCTCCCTGTTGGAGCTTGTGGACACTGTCTCTTCTCGGTCACCGGGTCTGTGATGTCACTTGGTACATGAATGGGAGTAAGAGTATCACGTTATAGTAGAAAAAGCCTTTAGCAAGCCTGCTCTACTTAATAGTTTTGATCTCAAGCCCAGGATTGCTTCATTGTGAGTTTGAGAGGCCATTTGAGCTCCATCTCAGAAAGTGCTGTGGAACTCAAGACAGTCTGCATTGCTGATTGCCTCCTGGAAGCTGACCTTTTGTCCTGTGGATAGAAATCTTGAAAAACTTAATGATAGCCCTCATTTGTGGAGCATGTTTACAGTTTATAAGGTGTTCATACAGTCATGTAGCAAATGTTTTTTCCTTACTACAACCCTATGATTTTGGGCCATACAGGGATCATTATCCCCTTTTCATAGCCAATGGTTAAGTAACTCATTTGAGGTTACCTAACTAATTAGCTCAAGGCAAGCACTCAATCTCAGGATTTCCTACTCTTAACACCTATGCCCTCTTATTATGCCACACCATCCACCACCTGTTCCTTCCTGTCATCAGAAGGGCCAGGAACAAATGTCCCAGAGAGGCCCCCTCTCCCTGTCCCCTGCTTCTAGTCCTGCTGCTTCATTCAAGGATGATGTAGAGGGCCAGGCACAAGTGGTTCTCCCTGTTATAAAAACATCCGCAAAGTTTTTTTTTCCAAAAATGAAAGTCATTGTTTTTTGTGGGGAAATTCGAGTGTTCAGCTTTTTTTCCGATGGGATTTTACTCTGCCTCACCTGAGTTTGATATCTTTGTCTCAGTGGCCACTGGAAGGAGGGTGACAGACCCACCACCCCAGGTTTAACTCTTCTTGGCTTGCTTGTACTGTGCATTTGAAGTAGGAATATATTTTATTTAGTCAAATGTCTCAATGTGTCCCTCAACCTGAAGCTTTTATTGACCGTAAATGGTGGAGAAGAGGAAAGTGCCACCAAGGTTCTGAACTCTAATGAGAGAAAGAGTATTTTTCGTTGGGTGCAGATGGCTCACACCTGTAATCCTAGCTACTCAGGAAGGCAGAAATCAGGAGGATTGTGGTTCGAAACCAGCTCAGGCAAATAGTACAAGAAATCCTATCTCAAAAGTACCCAACACAACTAAGTTGTAGAGTGCTTGCCCAGCAAGTGTGAGGCCTAGAGTCCAAATCCCACTCCCACCAAAAAAAGAGTATTATTGGACTTGAGAGTGAAATTTTTTTTTTTTTTTTTGGCTTCCTGAGTGCTGGGATGATAGGCATGTGTCACCATACTCGGCCCCTTCTCACTTGTAACTTTCACGAAGTAGTGACCAAGTTGGAAAACCCTATCTGCATTATACCCTGTGAAGGGGTAGAGAGAGGGTTCTATTGTGTGGTGGGATACTTCATTGTAATACTGAAAAGGACTGATAATGAACAATGCTTTGTGTATAATCTCAATAGGTCATGGAAAGGTTTTCCCACAGTCCACAGTGTCAGTTCCTCCCCCTTGCATGCAGATGTGTCATAGGACACGGTACCTCCCTCTGGACCCTAGAGCATGCAGTACTAGAGGCAAGGGGAGGGAGGTGCAGGGGGCTGGTTCTTGAGGTTCCAGGTGGTGACGCATGTTCTGTCTTGGTTCTCAGGTGAGCAATGGCAGGCGCTGGTGAGCGCAAAGGCAAGAAGGATGACAATGGCATTGGCACGGCCATTGATTTTGTGCTCTCCAATGCCCGGCTGGTGCTGGGGGTGGGTGGAGCGGCCATGCTGGGCATTGCCACGCTGGCAGTTAAGCGGGTAAGTGTATGCAGCTAGGGCCTGGATAGAGGTAGTGAGGCAGCCTCTAAGGAATGGAGCTCTCCGGAACAATACTTGGACACTGCTAGTGGGAGTGTAACTTGGTCATTTGGCATGATTAGATGAGACCTTGAAAGACTTCAGTAAGTCTCTTTGTAGGACTCTGCCCCAAAGAAATCATCAGCAATACAAATAAAGTAGTTTATCCCATCAAGTAAAACAATGCAAATAACAAATATGTCCTCCCTTGAATACCCTATTTAAAGTAGCAACACTACACCATACATATATTTGGAGTTCTTATTCCTGCTCTATCTGTATTCTTAATTTTTTTAAATAATATTTTAACGGGTCTCATTATAAGTTCATATTTAACTTGTTTAGTATGTATTGCCTGTATTCCCCTAGTAGATTGGAAACTCCATGAAGGCAGGGATTGGGTCTCTTGGTTTTCTTAGCACTAGAACAATGCCCAGCATATATAGTAGCCCCTAAAAATAGTCATCCTTCTGTATATATGGATTTCACATTCACAAATTCGTCCAACTACAAATCAAAAATACTTCTTAAAAAAATTGGCATTTGTATTGAATATGTATAGACTTTTTTTGTCATTATTCCCTGAACAATTAGTGTAACAACTGTCTTTATTATTACATTGTAATATAGGAATATTAGGAATAATAAGTAATCTAGAAATGATTCAAAGAACATGGGAGGATATATGCAGGTTGGCAACTACAGTGCCATTTTATATTAAGGGACTTAAAGCATCCAAGGATATTGGTATCTTGGGGTGTCTTGGAACTAATCCCTTGGGGATGCTGAGATTTTTTTTTTTTTGTTATGGAACTAGGATTTGAACTCAAGGCTTTACACTTGCAAAGCAGGTGCTCTAGTGCTTGAGTCACATCTCCAGTCCTCTTTTTTTCTTTTTTTTTTTTTTTTGGTGGTACTGGCGTTTGAACTCAGGGTCTTGCATTGGGTAGACAGGCACCCTACCACTTGAGTCATACCCCCCAGCTTTCACTGGTTCTTAAATAAATGAATCAGTGTTCAACATGGTATATTTATTATGTAGTCAGAACATGTTGAAGTGTCTTTGGTAATAGAGGAAATCAGCAAAATGATAGTAAGTTAAAAAGTGCACACACAGTATGATCCTGATTAAATAAATACATATCTCTAGAAAGAAATATACCAAATATTAAGAAGAGTTTTCTCTGGGTTATAGCATTATGAATAAATCTGTATCTTTTTTTTTTTTTGGTGGTGCTGGAGTTTGAACTCAGGACCTTACTCTTGCTAGACAGGTGCTCTTACTGTTTGAGCCACTCCACCAGCTCCTATATCTTTCGTATGTCAGTATTTCCAGAGATTTTCTGCATGGAGCACTGTATTCTATAGTCTAGACTAAACAAAGTCATTAAAAAAATAATTTGAGTGAAGGGGTGTAGGTAACTCAATGGGAGAGTACTTGTCTATCATGTGCAAAGTCCTGGTTCAAATCCCAGCATTGCCAAAAAAAAAAAGAACTTCCTAGGGCAAGGCTTCTGGGATAGAGACTGAAAGGAAGTAGAGAAAAGAAGGCTGATATATATGTCCTGGATCCTCTGCTATTTCAGATGTACGATCGGGCAATCAGTGCCCCAACCAGCCCTACCCGCCTGAGCCATTCAGGGAAAAGGAGCTGGGAAGAACCAAACTGGATGGGCTCCCCCCGACTGCTGAACAGGGACATGAAGACAGGTCTGAGCCGCTCCTTACAGACCCTTCCCACAGAACCCTCGGCCTTTGAGATAGGTGAGGAAGGCTGGTACCCCTCCCCGCCCCAGACTACCTCTGGACATCAGTGCTACTCCTGCATTGCACAAACATTTTTCAAGTATGGATGTGTCAGGCTGTTCAAACCCTTTCCCTTTGTCCCAAGTCCTCCTTTCTGGGGCTGAGGCAGCAGTGGACAGAGCAAGTGTGGGAAGTGCTCATGTGCCTCTCTCTTGCCTTGGCAGATACTTTCTGCCCACCCCGGCCCAAGCCATTGACCAGGAAGGGCCAGGTAGACTTGAAGAAGTCACGACTCCGCATGTCCCTGCAGGAGAAACTTCTTTCTTACTACCGGACCCGGGCAGCCATCCCTGCTGGAGAGCAGGCTCGGGCCAAGCAAGCTGCTGTGGACATATGTGCTGAGCTCCGGAGCTTCCTGCGGGCCAAGCTGCCTGACATGCCACTTCGGGACATGTACTTGAGTGGCAGCCTCTATGATGATCTGCAGGTAACAAGATGGTTCTTATGAGGGTGGTGCTGGGCACCCACTAGGTACTTCTGTGTAATGTCATTGGCCAAGAAAGCCAGAGTCCCAGGCTCACCAGAAATACCGAGGTCCTCCTCTATGAGTCCCGTGCCCTGTGGCAGCCTTTGTTACTTTGCTCTTATGTCTTCTTAAACCCTTTCTCATTTTTTTTTTAGTCATATTCAGAACTTTCAAGAAGTTGTAAGAAACTTGATCCTTCCTGTATTCTTGCCTCCATCTCCTTTCTGGTTTTTCTTCATCATGTGAATTCATGTGAACTGCCTCAGTGACATGAAAGAATTCTTAGCTTCCCTTATTGGGGGAATGTAAGATGGTGAGCCCTGTGTGGGGGGAAGCATGTCTGTTAAGTAGAGTAAACCCCTCAGAGCCATTTTTAATTATTTTGGCAGGTGGTGACAGCTGACCACATCCAACTTATCGTGCCCCTTGTGCTGGAGCAGAACCTGTGGTCGTGCATCCCTGGAGAGGACACCATCATGAATGTCCCTGGTTTCTTCCTGGTTCGTCGTGAAAATCCAGAGTATTTTCCTCGTGGTAGCAGTTACTGGGACCGCTGTGTTGTAGGGGGCTACCTCTCCCCAAAGACAGTGGCAGACACATTTGAGAAGGTAGTGGCAGGCTCTATCAATTGGCCGGCCATAGGGTCCCTCTTGGACTATGTGATCCGACCAGCACCACCCCCAGAGGCCCTGACACTAGAAGTGCAGTATGAGCGGACAAACATCTTGTCATTGACTTCTTGCCATCGGTTACCCTTGGTGACACTGTCTTGGTGGCCAGACCACACCGGCTAGCTCAGTATGACAACCTGTGGCGGCTGAGTCTGCGTCCTGCGGAGACAGCACGCCTGCGGGCTTTGGACCAGGCTGACTCAGGCTGCCGATCTCTGTGCCTCAAGATCCTCAAGGCCATATGCAAGTCCACTCCAGCTCTGGGCCACCTCACTGCCAGCCAGCTAACCAATGTCATCCTTCACTTGGCCCAGGAGGAGGCTGACTGGTCTCCAAACATGCTGGCTGACCGTTTTCTGCAGGCCCTGAGGGGACTCATCAGTTACTTAGAGGTTGGAGTCCTGCCCAGTGCCCTGAACCCCAAGGTGAACTTGTTTGCAGAGCTCACCCCTGAAGAAATAGACGAATTGGGATACACTCTCTACTGCTCATTGTCTGAGCCAGAGGTGCTGCTGCAGACGTAGGGCAGGTGAAGGCCAAAGCGGGTGTCAGGTGGTCAGGCCGTCAGACCCCTGAGACTCCTTTAGAAACACTTGGCTACATAGTTGGTGCCTCACAGGGTCCCCAGGTGCCTCCTGTTTTGCGGGTCATCATCCTGGTCACTTCATATTGGTTGATTAGAATGACATTTCTTCTGTCTCCTATTTTCTCACCCAACCCTTTGTTTTTGTTACCAAACACTGTGCTTCCTTATTCCCTAACCCCCTTGCTGATTTTTCTGGAATGAATGGAGAAGGTGGAGTGCTGGCCTGAGCTGCTAAGACCACTTGGTCTTTTGCATTTTGGCCCAGTTTTCCTGTTTCTGTCTGCCCTGTCCCACCCATTTGCATCTTCTATGAAGTGTCTTGTCTTTTTCCTCTCTCACTCACACCTTTTTGTTTTGCTCTTGTTCCTGAAACATACCTGCCTAATCGAAATGTTGCCTTTTAGTTGAATGTCACAGAAGAGTTATGATTGCCTGTTTGCAAGCTGAACTCTGCAGACTGAGCGCTTAGACAGTATTTAGGGTTTTGGGGGTGGAGCCAGTGGAAGAGCCGGCTTTGACCCTGGTTCCTGGAAAATAAGCCTATCCCTCGCCCCAAGCTACTTATATTCAAATGTACTGAGGATATCTCTCCTGGGGACACTACATTTACCCATGCAGGAGAAACTGGACGCAGAATTATACGAAGATTGTGTTTCTTAGTGGCCATCAGCGGGAGCACAGGGGTGGGGTCTGGAGCTGGCTCAGAGGGCTTGCATCTCATCTGTGGTCACCGGAGCCAGACAGACAAGGGGGCCTGGGTGCAGCAAGGGCAGGAGCTCCCAGGATGCTGGGTTTCACCTCTTTTCTCCTGTATTGCCAATAGGATAAGGCCTTGCAGGAACACAGCCTTAGTATGGGCTGAGGGAGGATAACAGACTGTCAGCTGGAAAAACCAGTCACCAATTGGGGCTCAGTGACCGTGGTCCTCCTCTGAAAGGCCCGGCTTTTCTAGGATGTTGCCTTAGAGCAAGGACATGCCCAGGGCCAGCGCACCCTGCCCCCTCCCCCCAAGCAAAGGGAGAGGTGTTTGCTAAGCCCCTGCATGCACCTCCAGAGGCTAAAGGATGGGTGAACATGCACAGCCCTCATACCCCTTGTCCTGCTCTCACTTGCCTGCTACCTGTGGCAATTGGTGCTACCTAGGGAGAGCACAAAGTTAAAATATACAGGGGAGGCAAGTGGGTGCATCTCATGCTCTGTCTTGTTTTCTGCTGCTAAAATTGCACTATTTATGGCAATGTGAACGTATCCTGAGGGTGGGGAGGAGTGCTGAATACACCATGTCAGTGTGTCTTCTTTCGTTGATCGTCATTCAGGTTTTGCTCTGCCCATCCAGTATTTTGTTCTCCTCCCATCATGTCTTATTTTATCTACTCTTACTGCCTCTCCATCAGTGAGATTCTGGTGAAGCTCTGCAGCTGTCTCATTCCTTCCTGATGACATGAATGAATGCTAAATTTTAAGCCCTGACCGCAGCAACCACCTCAGTTTAGCAGAGGTAAATAGAGGCTGTCCCCTTTTAGCCACAGATCAGGAAGTTGAGAACTAGGGTGACCTTGACTATATTTAGTTTTTTTTGCCTCTTGTTTCTTCAGTTCGAAACATCTGCGTGCTTAAGCACTAAGGGGGCTTGGTGTAGAAGAGGAGCTGACCTGATACTGAGGGCTCTGATGTCCCATCTGGTGTCTCTTGGACCCCAAGGAGGCTTGATAGAGTGCTGTAGAAACAGATGAGTCTGTTGACATAAGGGATTTGATGTCCTAGCCATAAGTATTACAAAACTTAAAAATTTCCCAAGCTGTCATCTCCGACCAAATTCCGTATAAAACCTTGGAAAGAACTCTATAAACAGAAAAGATTTTAAAAAGTTCTGGGTTATCAAAGTCAGATGTCACTGTGAATTTAGGAGGGAAATGAATTTAACTCCTGTTTTAACAGCAGCTCTTTTGGTTGCTTCATAAAACCAAAACCATGGCTTTGCTATCTTGTAAGGAAGAGCCTCTTACAAGACCTCAGAACTAGGAGAGGGTTTGCTGGTGGAGCAGGTTTTCCTCTGCTGCTATTTACCTCATCAAAGACAACATTATATCCCCCTCCACCCCTTTTTAGTCTTTGGGGAAAGCTGCAGTGGCTGTCCCCCTGCCCCCACCTTCCTGTTCAGTAATTGCCACTTTTGCCTGAAGGAGCAGTAACTGCTCCTACTTATCTGGAGGTATTTTTGACACCACTTAGATTAGCAAACCACACATTTAGCTTGATGCTTAAAAGTGCACTCATCATTATCTTGAACACCTAATAAATTCCAGGTTTATTTTGATAAAGGAATTCTTCCTTATTGCCCCTTCCTAAAAAGTGAGTTCAGGATAGCAGTATCTTACTTCCTATGCTTGGTTGTGACTTTTTAAAAACAAAGGAAAGATTTTGAAGTTCACATTCGGAAAAGCTGTGTTGAAGTCTACTATCTCCAGGTCTTGGCCCTGGCTGTCTTACCTGTTGACACACAGGTGAGCTTATTTTGCTCCCTTGGTCTTCACCCTAGAGCTCAGATAGTTCGGATGAGGAGTCAGCTTCAGGATCAAGGGTGCTGAGAGGCCCTGAGGGGGTCCTGCAAGTAGGACTTCCCTGCATGTGTTCACAGTCCACTGCCACAGTACATCTTCCTTGGGATTATGTTTTGGCTGAGAACTTCTGCTCTTAGAGGATTTGTTAGAACTCTGGTCTTTTGTCTGAAGGTCAAGGCCAAGGAAAATGGTAAGAGACACTTAGAACAAAGCTGACCCCTGCACCAGGCTGGGTGCTTTTTTATATTGACTGTAATGGTCCAAATACCAGAAACATGGGTTCTGTGGTCACTTGCATACTGGAGTGGCGGCGGGGCGGGGGAGGGGGGGACATGAAGGGAATTTACCTTTTCCATCACCTTGTAGTCTAAATTCTTGGTCCCTGAGGCCAAGTTCACTTGCCTTCCTGTCACTTGCCTGCCCTTTAGTGGTGGTTGATGTGTTAGCTGGTCGATTTGGAATCTCACCAATTTTTATGTCCTGTCTTGGCTAGGTCATGTGGGAGTAGCTTAGACACAGAGAACTGGTATCCTTTCTCTTGGAAGGAGGAAATTAAATTGGGGAACACAGTGAAAAAGAAAATAAAACTCCTTTCCAACAACTTTGACTTTTGCATGTGGTATGAAACATTTTCCTATAGGAAAATAAGAGAACCACTGAAGTGTTTGACCTAGGTCTCCGTAATAGAATGGGGACAGTAGCCACAAGATTCGTTCTGTGACCTCTGTAGTGTCAACCACCATCTGCATGATCATGTGTCAAGAGCCTCTGATAAGTCTCTTTGCAGAGCAAAAGGAGGGCCCAAGGGTCCTTCGGCAGACATAGGTAATGGCTTAGGATCCTTTCTTCCTTTGCAGTGACTTCTCTGTGTCATCACACTCATGGTTGCCTTTGTGTCCAGCCATCTTGGAATGCAGTGAAGGACTGGGCCACCTGTTGGTCGATGACTTTTTTTTTTTTTTTTAATTTGGTGGCACTGGGTTTGAAATTAGGGCCTCAGGCTTGATAGTAGGCGCTCTACCCCGTGAGCCACCCGGGTAGCCTCACATTCATGATTTCCCACAAAGAAAAGCCACATTTTAGTCCCAGCACCTAGGGTGCCTTGTGGATGCAGGTTGCAGGTGTTGGTTCATCAGTAAATCAGGAGTAAGGGAACCTCTGAGGACACAGGGTGTCACGGAGGTCGGCGTCAGAAGACTACAGCCGTTTTTGACCACGTACCTGCCAGACGCCGCTAGGTGCCTCCCACGTGTGATCTCAATTCTAAGGTCAGGAATACTCATTGGCCTCATTTTGCCGAGGAGACGGCCCCGAGAGGACAAGTCACTGGGCCAGTGCCCCAGCTATAAATGACATGGCCACTTAGGAGGAGGGAGACAGTTTCTGCGGAGCAGGCGTGACTGCACGGGGCTGAGGGAGGGAGGCAGGTCGCTCAGCTCCCCGTGGAGGGCTGGCCCCACGCGGGACGCGGGGCCACTGCTCCCAAACGCCCGGCCCCAGGACTGGACGTGGTTCCCTAGCGCCTCTGCCCAGGGCCATTAGAGTGAGCTGCTGGGAAGTGGGCTCTGCCTGAAGTCAGAGTTAAAGCTACCTTAGCGTGAGATGCCAGGTGAACAAACCTTGTTTAGGGAAACGGCCTGCATAAGCCAGAGAGCCCTACACAGACCGCACACAGCAGCGGACGTGCTAGCAGAATGGCCGTCGGTTAGACAGGCTGGGCGATGGAGTCGGCACCTTTCCTGACTACAGGGTGCGGGGAAGGACGCGGACCGGCCTCTGAGAGCAGGTGGGCGGGCAGGGATCGGTGGCGGTGCCCTCCCACACCGCCCTTCCAGCTGGGCACCGAGTCAGCCGCCCGCTGGGGGCTGCTCTGGAGAAAAGCCCGGACCACGTGACTTCCGGCAGCCTCTCCAGGTCCGACGCCCGACAAGTCGGTCCTGAAAGGACAGCACCAGGTGCAGGAAGGACGGACTTGGGTTGCATGACGGGGACTAGGTCTGAAGCCATTGTTGACTGCATACTGGACAAAAGTTTTTTTGCGCGGTGGTGGCCAAGCCAAGGGGAACACTTAAACGTGGTAGTCTCAAAAAAGGAAACGGCAAAGGTGACAGCCCCGCGGCGGGAACTGTCCCGCCCCTTTCCTCGTAGACTGTGGTTTCTCTGGCCTCGCAGCCCGCCTACCTTGGACCCGGAGCCAATAGAGACTCGAGGTATACATGACTCATCATGCTTAGACCAATCAGCTCGACGCGCGGTACCTGCCAGCGTCTCGCGCGACAACCTGGCAGCCTCGGCCTTCACAATAAAATGCTTCTCTGTGATGAAAGAAGTCCCCGCTCTCTGAGCTAACGCCGGAAGCGAGGAGTGTCTGAGATCCTTCCGCGGTGGCTGAGAAAAGTGGCTCGAGTCGTAGTCCTATTGTAAAGTAGTGCGCCTTTTTCCTTTCGTGAGGCCTTAAAAATAAACAATCCCTTCCTAGCCACTGCCGGGACATAGTAGTTGAGGGTTGAGCTGGTGGCGGTGTCAGAGAAGCGTCGGCGGGTGGGCAGGTGGCGAGGTCACGTGCCCGCGGCGGAAGGATATTCTCAGTGCTGCGTCCCTCTGATGCGAAGTCTATAAAGGCTTCGCGGGCCCCGGCTCGCGGCCATTTCTGTTCCGCCCGCCGGTAGATGTAGTCGTCTCAGTCCGCGCGTCTTCCCTCTTCCCCTCTCGCAGGGTGTGCAGCCACCATGGCGTTTTAGAGGCAGCAGTGCCTGCGGCAGCATTGGCCTTTGCAGCGGCGGCAGCAGCACCAGGCTCTGCAGCGGCACCCCCCAGCGGCTTAAGCCATGGCGTGAGTACTGGGGCCGGGCGCGGTTGCGGCCGGGGCGGGTCCCCGAGGGGGAAGCGGTTTTACGAGCGCCCGGACGCGCGGTCCCGGCTTGGGCTTTCCGGAGCCTCCGGCGTTCCCGAGCCGGGCGAGGGGCGCAGCAGGCACCGGGGCTGTCTTCACTGGACCATCCCCGGGTTGCGAGCCCCCGGGAGTTGCAGCTGTCGCCCCGCGAACGTGGCAGCGGCTAAGATGGCGGCTGGGCGGAGTGTGAGTCACGGCGGCGGGGCGGGGCGGGGCGCGGCGGCCGTGACCGTATTTGGACGTGAGGACGCGCGCCTTCCTCTGGGCGGCTGGCTGGGGAATGGCCGAGCCTCCATTTTGTGCCACCCGAGTCGGAGGCTCTTGAAGGTCGACGCAATGGCCCTGGGGCCGCGTGCTCCGCGTTCTCCAACCAGAATCGCATTTACTAGTTACGCGTCTCGGGGAAAAAGATGGACTTCTCAGACAGGTTCGCCCCTGATGGGCCTTGCCCTCCGATTCCTATGCAGGCTTCTCACGGCATCCAGCAGCAGCGTTGCTGTAACCGACAAAGACATCTTCGAATTTAGCACCTTCCTCGAATCCAGCAAAGCCCCGCACCATGAGCGAGATGAGCTTCCTGAGCAGCGAGGTGTTGGCGGGGGACTTGATGTCCCCCTTCGACCAGTCGGGTTTGGGGGCTGAAGAAAGCCTAGGCCTCTTAGATGACTACCTGGAGGTGGCCAAGCACTTTAAACCTCATGGGTTCTCCGGTGACAAGGCTAAGGCGGGCTCCTCCGAATGGCTGGCTGTGGATGGGTTGGTCAATGCCTCAGATACCGGCAAGGGTGAGTGGCCGCCTTCATCTGCCCGGCTGGGTCTGGTGTTAGAGCTGTGTATCTGATAATTGGCTTCATCACTCTTAAAATGTTTTGCAGAGGATGCCTTCTCCGGGACAGATTGGATGTTGGAGAAAATGGATCTGAAGGAGTTTGACTTCGATGCCCTGTTTCGTTTGGATGACCTAGAAACCATGCCAGATGAGCTGTTGGCCACGTTGGATGACACGTGTGATCTCTTTACCCCAGTAGTCCAAGAGACTAACAAGGAGCCCCCCCAGACAGTGAACCCAATTGGCCATCTCCCAGAGTGTTTAACAAAAACCGATCAGGTTGCCCCTTTCACCTTCTTACAACCTCTTCCCCCAGGGGTCCTCTCTTCCACTCCAGACCATTCCTTTAGTTTAGAGTTAGGGAGTGAAGTGGATATCTCTGAAGGAGATAGGAAGCCCGACTCTACTGCTTACATTACCATGATCCCCCAGTGTGTAAAGGAGGAAGACAACCCCTCAGATAATGACAGTGGCATCTGTATGAGCCCGGAGTCATATCCAGGCTCTCCCCAGCACAGCCCCTCCACCTCTAGGGGGTCTCCAAATAGGAGCTTGCCATCTGCAGGTGTCCCCCGTGGGTCTACCCGCCCCAAACCTTATGATCCTCCTGGAGAAATAGCAAAAATGAAGGCTGAGAAGCTGGATAAGAAACTGAAGAAAATGGAGCAGAACAAGACAGCAGCCACCAGGTACCGTCAGAAAAAAAGGGCAGAGCAGGAGGCCCTCACTGGTGAATGTAAAGAGCTAGAAAAGAAGAATGAGGTTCTGAAAGAGAAGGCAGATGCTCTGGCCAAGGAGATCCAGTATCTGAAAGATTTGATAGAAGAGGTCCGCAAAGCAAGGGGGAAAAAGAAGGTCCCCTAATAGGATAGTCAGTGCTGTGTGCTTGTACATAGGAGTTTTTGCGCTGAAGCTGTTGTAATAAATTATTTTGTAGTGAAAGTATCAGTGCTAATTTATTGCTCTGAATACCCCATTCCCAAGCCACACTGATGAGCCTTGGACTACTCAACCCTATTGTGGAGGATAGGTCATATAGCTGGTGTCTTGGGCTCCATTGAGGTGATAGAGCTGGTTAGGGCAGGAAAGGGGGGTGGGGAGTTTAGCCTGAGATCCTGTGGGTGACTCAGGAACATCCTGGATTCCACCTGTTTAATGAAGTGGCTCTGTGCCAACATTCCATCAAATACCCAGATAAGGTCACAGCCCTTGAGCACAGAGGATTAACCTATCAGGAAAACTAAGCCCTTTTATGGCTGCTGAAGCAGTTAAGCCAAAGCTAGGGATTATCTCCACTACCCCTTGCTACACAGTGCAAAGGACAGTAACAGCCTTCTGGCTAACATACTGGGGCTTCTGTTGGTCACTTGGGTCAGAGAGGAGGCCTGATGTCTGGAGATGTCAGGATTTAGGGGTCATATAACCCAACTGTAATCCCAGACACTGGTTGTGGGACATGTAAAACGGGAAGGTAATTCTCAGAAGCATTTTATTATTGTGACAGCTGAGGCCACCTGGTTATTGTGTGAGATGCTGGTAGGGTTGGTTCTTCCATTCAGCTTAGGGCAAATATTTGGGGCCAACTAGATTTTCCTCTTTGGAACAGCATCTGGGCTGCTGGGAGAGCTGTTCAATGATGGTCAGGTGTGTATGGTAAGCAGGCACCAGACCCATGTTCCCACCCAGTCAAAATGAAAAACTGGGATTTGAACACAGGCCTTTTGAGCCTTGGAAATAAATGGTCTGTAAGGGCCCCCAGAACAGGACCCACATTTACTTGAACAGCGTTAGTGCCCAGTGTAGACACCTGAGTCAGTCGTGAACAGTCACTTTGATCAGGTGATCTGAGGTCTTTTATGTTGAGATTCTGTAATTCATAAGACCATGGGCTGCCTCCTGTAGCTTACTCAGTGGGGAGCTAACTATTGCTGCTTCTATGTGCAGCTAAGAGTTCAGAAGATTCTAGAGTTAGATCCTGGCTCTTCCACTTCTGGTTTTGACCTTGGAGCTACCCTTCATGCCTTACCTCATGAGCTTTGTACTCCAGCCTCCTTTTCCTCCTGCTTCCCACAGCTGTCTCTAATGAGGCGTCTACCCATCTAAGCAGCTGAACTGTTCCTAATGAAACAAGATTTACTGGCTGAAAAATGGTACGAACTCAGCTACATACATTGACACTATGACAAATTCTATGCTGAATGCTTTTTATAAAAGGACCATCTTCCCCATTTTGTAAATAGGGAAATTGAGGCTCAGTTAATTGACTTGCCCAACAACCAGGTGGTAGATGAACCCAGGTAGTCTTGACTGCAGGAATTTTTTTTTTCTCCCTTTTTCACTTTTTGAGACAGGGTCTTGCTATGTAGCCCAGGCTGGCCTGGAACTCATGATCCCCTTAACACAGCTGGGACCACAGGCATGCTCCATAAAACCTGAGCAGTGATTCCAGGATTTCTTAAGGCAGCATCTGGTCAGGTGGGGTGGGGTGGTGTGTTTGAGAGCAGTACAAATGGGAAGTTTCTCAAGATTTTTTTACTTAGTCACAGCTTCAAGAAAACAACAGTTGTAGTCCTGCGCCAGTGGCTCATATCTATAACCCTAGCTACTAAGGAGGCAGACATCAGGAGGATCTCAGTTCAAAGCCAGCCTGGGCAACCAGTTCGATACCCTATCTGGAAAAGACCCACCACAAAAAAGGGCTGGTGGAGTGTCCCAGGGTGTAGGCCGAGTTCAAACTCCAGTACTGCAAAACAACAAGAAAACCATCAGTTGACCAGTTGTCTGGATGACACTGGGGACCCTGGGGGCCTAAGGCCAGTCTAGAGCTTCATTAGCACTGCTATTTATAATCCCTGCTCTGCTTTTCACTTGTTTTGTGAATGAATACTTTTTCAAGATGAGAAGTAAAAACCTACCATTTCCATCTACCTCCAGCATTGTAGAATGTTTGCCCCAAGAGGCAGCTGGTCCCACCTGGGGAACTAGGTGGTGAGGGAGAGGGCACTGAAAGTTGAGGGAGTGGACAGCAGGCCTGAATGTGATTAAGTCACAGTCATCCCTTCTGGAGAGGCTTCTTCACTTTGCTTCAGCCCTTTGTGCGTGTGTTTCATGGGGCTTTTTCTGCCCGACCAACCCCCGAAGTCACCAAGACCAGATAGTGTTGACCTCTGGTGGTCCAGCCTACAAAAGTAGGAGCCTCTCCAAGTGCAGGTTCCCAAACATCTCAACCTCTCCAAACCACCTGAAGCACAAATGCTCTGGGTGGCCTTCACATCAGCTAAGGTGACTTAATCAGGGAAGACCTGCCCTGCTGTGTCCTTTTAGCTCTGCCTGAATTTTTTTCCTTTGGGGGTACTGAGATTTGAACTCAGGATTTCACACTTGCAAGGCAGGTGCTCTGTCACTTGAGCCCTTAGCCCTGCCTGGGTGTTGCAAGCTGTGTCTTATTTTGGCTGTGGAGATCCTGAGACTGATGGCCAGAGCCCCAACCCCTGGTGATGCACCTTGTCCTGCACCAGTGCCCGCTTTCCAGACTCCCTGCTGCTTTCTAGCTACCTACAGTGAACCAAAAAAAAAAAAAAAAAAAGGAAGGCAAAGGACCACTGCTCACATCCTTCCCCAGGAGGCACAGGGAATGTCTATGTGATTTAGACGGGGGTGTGTCCTTGTTAGAAAGGGGCCCTCTAGAGCCCAGGGTCAGCTTTTTTCTGTACTGCAAACTCTATGAGTAAGTGTTGAGCTGGCTTCTTACTAAGCTGCTTATGATGGAGGGCATGAGTCTTTAAGGATACCTGAGTTTGCCCCTATGCCAATAGTCAGTAGAGCCCAGCAGGCAGGAATAGGAGCGTGGAGGGCTTGAAGATCAGTATGCCCCCTGTCCCTAACCCATTTGAGGTCTTGAAGATCTTGGACTCTACAATTTAGTCACAGCACCCTCCCTCCTCCTGCCTGCCTGCCTGTGTTGTCCTCCTGGTTGGATGGTGGGTGGCACTTCCTATCACTCAGGTAGAGGTACCGTGGAAACAGAACCCCCAGCTCTAACTCTGCCTTATGCAGGTCTATGGTCCCTTTCTGTGTCTCCACTCAGGACACAAAATTGATTAATCCCAGCAACAGATGCCTAGAAGCCCCAGCATTGGAGGAAAAAAAAAAAAAAAAAGCCTGGCGGGGGGCTGGGGTGGTGGTGAGCACTCTTACAGATGGGCAGCCCCACTGCTGTCATTTTTTTTTTCGGTGGGACTGGGGTTTGAATTCTGGGCTTCACACTTGCAAAGCAGGCAACACCTCCAGTCCATTTTGCTTTGAATACTTTGGAGATGGGGGTCTTAGGAAGTATTTGCCCAGGCTGGCCTCCCAAATAGTGGTTAGGAATACAAGTGTGAACCACCAGTACCCGGCTTCCACCACTGTCTTATTAGGGTCCGTTGAGGTGTTGGCTGATTTGTCATGCTCCCTCTGGCCTGGACCCAGCCTTTTTGTCTCCACTGAAGGACTCCAGGCTTCTGTGACTCCACTTTTCTCCCCTGAAGGTCTACACCGTTCATTTCATACCACCTGTCCTTGGTACTGTGTCTGCTGCAAAGGGCCCAGCCTGCTCTCTATGATGGTATAGCTGTGTCTTCACCACCACTGTCCGCTGTGGGTGAAGTCTGCTTGTTCAGGATTTTTCTTGAGACCCCTGACCTATGACCTTATCACAAGTGACACAGAAAGGACCCAGCATGAACCTTGGGGTTAGGGTGGAGAAGACCTCAAGCTGACAGGGAAAGGGTGAGGCAACTCTATTCCCACACTACCCAGATCTTGTGATTCACTTCCTTGAACAAAGCCCCCAGCAGCTGCAAGTACCACTTTTGCCTCATGTGCCACCTTCTCAGCTGAGTGGCCATGCCCCAGAGAGGAAGGCACATCTGGTAAACAGTGCCTTTGCTGGAGAACTTCTGACACGGCCTCTAGATCCGTGCTGGGAAACAGAAGACGCCTTAAGTCAGATCAGCAGCACACACTGTCCAAGTCCACATTTACTAGAACTCAGAAGCCCTTTCCCAGCAACCGTCTTCCTTCTCCTGGAGGTATAGCCCCCAGAGGCTCAGGACCTGGCCCTGTTCATGGCAAATGGAACAGTCAGAAATGTTTCTTTTTGGTAGGTGCAGATGGCTCCTCCCCCAAGCCTGCAGAAGTCATCTCCAATCTGAGTCAAATCTGCTCAGGGTTTGCAGCTCACCAGCTCCACCTTTTCAGTGTCCCTGTGACTCCAGCTCCAGGACTTTCTTGAGCCAGACTGGTCCTGTATCGCCATCTGCTGGCCACACATCACACAGCATGGGACAGAGGAGGCAAGAAAGTCAAGTAGGCTGGGTCTGGGTGCCTCTTCCACCCACCTTGCCCTCCTGGGAGCTCAGCTGCCAAAGTACTCCCGTTGGAATTTCTGGAAGTCTTCCTCAGTGAACACCGTGCCCTCAGCTTTCTTCTTCTTAGTCTTCTCCACAGGCCGATCACAGGCCTTGCGGCCCTGGTTCTGATGCAGAATCTGGGTAGGGGACCAAGAGGGAGAGCATGTCATTTCCACTTACAGAACTGGATGGACTGGGGTTCAGGGCAGGGTTGGACCAACTTCTACCCCATGTTCAGGGCTAAGACCCCATGGATCCAGGGGAACAGCCTCAGCTATCACCTCCAGGTCCCTTCCTATACCCTGTATCCCCATACGAACCTGCTGGGTCACAGACTCTGCCACGGTGCTTCTCACGCTGGTCATAAACCTCAGGTTGACTCTGAGATGGTCACGACACTCTCGCTTCTGGTACTCAGCTGTGGGTAAAAGGCAGGGAGAGTGTCACCTCAGACTGACTCCCAGGATCTGCCTCTGGTCTGGCCAAAGGCCTCATTGTTCATCTGTGTAACTTCCCCCCCAACCCACCTCAGATTACTGCAACAGTCTGGGCTCTTATCAGCCAAATCCACTCATGGAGCTTACATTCCAGTGGGAAGAATATTTTAGAGGGTTATCCATATCCATTTTACACAGGGAAATAGACGGGGAGTGCCAAGGTAGAGAGTTGCAATTTTATTATTTATTTATTGTTGTTCTGGGGGTACACTGTGACATTTATAAAGGTTCTTACAATAAATAATAGTTGAATTCACCCCCTCCATCATTCTTCATCTTAAACCTGCCCCAGCCCTCCACCGAATTGCAATTTTAAACAGGAAAGTCTACGGTCTCACTGAAATGACACTTGAGCAAAGACTCAAAGGACAGAGTTGTGGCTATCCAGAGGAAGGGCATCTGTCTAGGCAGACAGAACAGCCAGGGCAAAGACCCTGAAGCGGAAATATGATAAATGTATTTTAAGAACTAATGTTGGGGCAGAGTGGCTCAAGTGGTAGCCTGCCTAGCAAGTATGAGTATGAGTATGCTGAGTTCAAACCCCAGCAGCAGCAGCAGCACCACCACCACCAAAGTGGCTATAGTGGAGGGGGGTCATGCAGGGCCTCACCAGGCACCATGAGTGAGTACCACACTTTTATTGAGTACAACAGGAGCCCCAGGGTGGTGGACAAAGAGAAAATAAGATGTGGCTGATGACTTTACAAGCTCATTTCAGTTGTTGAGAATAAGATTATTGGCAGAGGGGTGTGTGGAAGGTGGAAGATCACTTAGGAAGTTTCTGCAATAATCCAGGCAAGAGACAAGGTAGCTTAGGCCAAGATGACAGCCACAGAGGCATCCACACATTGGCTACTGAAGCCTGCCACCCCTCTGACCTGCACATGCACAGGCCCTGGGCAAGTCAAAGGAGGTCTGTCTCTTGATGAGCTCCCAGTCCAACAGGAAGGCAGCAAAGGTATCTCTAGCAGAAGGGTGGTGAGACACCTCACCATGGGAGGAACTTCTCTCATCCTATATTCCTGCTTCACAGCTAACACCACTGGTACCCAAAACTTGCCTTGTTCTCCTGCCTCCATGCCTTTCCCCATGCTGTGTTTCCTCCTTGGAATTCATAACTTTTAACAAGTACCTGGACACTTTTATGCACCAAAAGCATGGATTCAAAGGCAGGATACGAGCTCACCACCCTGCCCACAAGTGCCCCTCCCTAAATCTTTATGTCTTGTTAACAATGTCACATTCCCCAAAATGCTCTAATAGAAATGGGGCTCCCTCTTCACAGCCAACCCACCACTAAAGCCCATCATGCTTCCTCTCTTTATCTATCTCCCACAATCTCTTGTTATCTCTCCTACCATCACCACTGTCCTTCCATAGTACTCCCAGTTGAGTGCAGCCGGGAAGAACAAGACTCTGGAGGCACACTGCCTGGTTCCCACTTGGGCAGGTACCTGTTTCTGTACCTGTAAAATGGGATGATAACACTACTGACCTCACAAGGCTGGTGTGAGAATCAAACGAGCTCACATTTATACAGGGCTTACTTAGATAGAACAGCACCTGGCACGCAGAGTATGAAACCATTTGCTAAATGCTCTATTGTGACCCTTGTTCACTAGACATCTTCTTTCTTTCAAATTCTCGAAGGCACCAAGGTCCTTTCTTACTCAGGCCTTCTGCACATACTATTCTTCCTAGAAGAGTATTCTAGGAGTACTTTCACCTGGCCACTCTTTTTTTTTTTTTAAACAAGGATTTATTTTAGTATAACACGATAAAGTATAGACGGGGTGGGGGCGGGGAAAAAGAGAACATTTCCTGCCCTTATGCAGGTAATGGACACTTGGCCACACTTAACACTTCCTAGGGCTCTCAGCCTAAATGCTGCTTCCTCAGAGAAGGCTGATTTGGCCTTTTACTCTCTCTTAGAGCAACGCTCTCTTTTACTTCATAGGCTTCAACACCCTCAGTAATTATACTTTGTTGTTGCCCTGAGTATGCGACCCAAGGGCAAGCGATCTACCACTGACCTCCACCCTGAACCCCCTATGCCGGTTTTGAGACTCTTCGGTGCTCCTCTTCCCACTATGGCCGCGACCATGTATCTCGTTCACTTCAGTATGTCCAGGACCCCGCTCTGCCTCTGTAGGCATTCTAGCAACCCCTGGGGGAAGATTCGAACCAGCCTCAAGAGCCGCCTCCTTCAGGGCGCCGTCCCCAAAGCCGGGCAGCGCTTCCAGCCCCTTCCAGAACTCACCCAGTGCCGACTTGGGCACCTTTCCCTTGGCCGAGTTCCGCAGCTTCTGCGCCTGGGTCGCCCTCGCTCTCGCCTTCCGGGTTCGCTTCACAGGAGCCCCGCTCGGTTTGGCCTGGCTTGGGGCGGCCCGAGGAGCTATATAAGGAGAGAAGAACGGACCCATGTCGGAGAGCGCGCAGGGCTCCCATCCCACCAGGAATAAGTCAGGCCAGCACCATTCCACGTACCCGGGCTCCTGCCCGCTCCCTTTTTCCCTCCTCACCCTCGGACGCCGCCAGCAGTTCCAGACCTCGCCGCAGCAGAGCAGCCGACATATTTGCACTCGGCTCCGCCCCCGCGCCTCACGCTACTTCCTTCCGCCTTGGCCGAGCGCTTTGTATAGGCGGGTCCCCTAGTCGTCGGAAACTGGAACTAGAACACAGGGTTCCGTAGTGGGCGGCGGAAGTGCCCACATTTTCAGGACGCATGCGTCAACAATCCTTTGTGAGTAAGTCCACGCCTTTTCCCGGAAGCCGTCCGTGGGTAGCCCAGCCCCTCTGGCCTCTCTTGTCGATAGTGGGCGAGGTCGGGGGCGGAGCCAAGTGTTGTCATTCTCAAATTTTTTTTTTAGTGGGACTGGGGATTGAACTCAGGTCCGCTTGCTAGGCAAAGCACTGTACTACTTGAGCCATGCCAGCGACCTGGACGATAATCCTCCTATTTATGCCTCCTATGGTAGCGGGGATGACAGGCATGAACCACCACACCCAAGGTATTGGTTGAGGGGGCGGGGGTCTAGCTAACTTTTTGCCTGCGCTGGCTTCTTGTCTCCTGCAGAGTAGCTGAGATTACAGAAGTGGACCGCCGTATCCTGTGGCATTCTAATTTGTAAGAAAGGAAATTGTGGGCCTGGAGCTGTATTTTACATATACTTCAACAAAAGCAACGAATCACAGAGTGCAACATGAGAATCCAGCTGTCTACTATTAAGTCAGACATTAAAGACATGCATGTTGCAAAAATTTAGTGTATTTTTGTTTTTCCATAAAATGTATGTTACCAAACAATGAGTTTATTATTTTAAGTGAATGAATAAATATTGGCAGGGCATGGTGGTGCCTGCTTGTATTTCCAGCACTGGGGAGGCAGAGGCAGGGAGAGTGAGACTAGCCTGAGGCTACATAGTGAGCCCTGTCCCAAACAAAACAAAACAAAATGTTGGGGGCATTGCTCAAGTAGTATAGCACTTGCCTAGCAGGTGGGAAGCCCTGGGTTCAATTGCCAGTACCATGAAATAGAAGAAAAAAGCAGCACTCAGGAAGCAGAGGCTGAGGCAGGAGGTTTTTCAAGTTCAAGACTAGCTACATAACCAGACTCTGTCTCAAAAAAATTATAAAGTCTTCTCAGATTTAGTTTCTAATATGGTAAGTAAATGCCAACAGACATTACATACAAGCTAGGCAAGGACTCTACCACGTGAGCCATGCCCCCAGTTTGCTTTTCATATAGGGTCTCATGCTTTTACCCAGGCCAGCCTTGGACCTCCATCCTCCTACCTCCACCTCCCAAGTACAGGTGAGTGCCACCATGCCTGGTGGGATCCTGAGTTTTTAAGAGCAAACGGCTTCCTAGACTGAAAAGTGTGAGAGCCTCTGGCCTAGAAATGACTCAATCCCTGGCTTGTTCAACTGCTGTGTCTGGCACCTGGAATGCAGTAGCCATGCAGTTCCAGTCAGTCAATGAGTGGCAAATGAAAGGGACAATTGAGTTCACTGAGCAAACATGATCTGAGGGCCTGCTGTATATCTGGCCCTGTGGAGCGTGGGGCATGGAGATGACTCGGTGGGTTCTCTGATTAGCCCTTGCCAGCCAGCCTCCATCAGCTAGCTCAGGAGGGGACACTCAATGACCAACACCATGTCCAGGGTCACGGTCCTGTTCTAAATGTTTCACATTTTAAACTCATTTACTCTCCTTCCCCCAAACCCTGGAAGGTAGGAACTGTTTTCTTCATTTTAAAGATGAGGAAATGTAACTGGGGAGACCCAACTGGAAGGGGAGTTTGCACGTCAGGTCCAGCCATTCTCCCAACATGCCAAACAAAGAGGCGCATGGTGGTGAAGGCGGAGAAAGGAAGTTTACACAGCATGGGCAGGCGTGGGGAAAGGCAAAGCCAGTACTCAGTCATCTTTGGCGTACAGATGTGACCTTTAGGTTTAAATAGAGGAAGAATTGGGGCCCCCAATTCTCCTTGGGCAGAAGGGGGACTAGTCACTCATTACCTCAGTTTTGGTTCTGTGAGGGTTGTGGAGAAGTTGTTCTCGCTGTCATCATTCGAGTAGGGCAATCTGGTTCCCATGGATGACTGCCCCTGCTCCAGGGTGCAGCCTTATCATCAAAGGTCACTGTCTCACTTAGGGCGTGGTCTGTCCTGCAAGCCCACCCCTTAGGGATAGTTTCAGTCCCTTGTCCTAAAGATGTTATTGATCAGTGCTGTCCTTTCTGGAACCCAAGGAGAGAGACTTAGAGCAAAGGAGACAGGTGCAAAATGGAGGCAGGGATGCCAGGTTTTTCTTCTGCTTCTAGTTACCTGTGGGCCCGCAAGAGGAGTTTGTTAGCAAAAGTAGCTTCTAAGTACCTGTTACAGAAAGAGAGTGCAGAGAGGTGGGCGGGGAACCAATGAGGTCACACTGGTGGTGCAGGGCTGGAAACCAAGAAACAGCATTTGATTTGGACGCCCTGTGCCTGCCCCCAGGGTGGTAGCGCTGTGGTAAGTGGTGCCAGATGGGTCTGTCAAAGTGTGGGGTCAGGGAGGCCTATGGAGGATGAGAGGGAGCTGGCTATGTATGGGGAGGGGTGGATTCTAGGCAGGAGACTATTATAGTGACACAGGAGCAAGCCCATGAGAGAAAGGGTTGGCATGAGGACAGAATGGTCTCAAGGGATAGACTCAATAATTTTGCCCTAAGGATCATGGCGGGGGGGCCTGGAACCCAGCCATGTGGTCAGATAGGTGCCTCTTTTCTCTGATAAAATAGCCAGTTTGTTTCCTAATGTGTATCTGCTGTTTATTGTCTCTTCCCCCCCACCCCCACCATCAGCTCCAGGAGTGCAGGGGTCTTTGTTTTGTTCCTTATTGTATCCATACTGCCTGGAATAGTTCTTGGCATAGAGTAAGCACTTCACAAAGACGTGAATAGGATGGGCGAAGGATGAGTTTGGGGATCCAGTTGGCAAAGGGTTAGTGATGTCCCGAAGGTCACGATGTGCAAATCGGCCTCAGCTGGCCAAAGGGAAAAGCTGTCCTTCGGATATGAGCTGTCGTACAGGACTCCTGGGTGGAGTATTTCTCTGTAGTCCAACATCTTCAGGGAACAGGGTCGCCTGGGGTTGGGTGAACCCTCAGTAGGTGGAAGGGGGTGTGCTCAAACCATGAGAAGAAGAAGTGGTGGATACTGCAGGGCTGACACCACTTTGGCCATTATACCACTAGATGGCGCCACAGGATAGCTTTCTCATGCAGAAGGGTCAAGTGCTGGGTGTGGGGGGAGTGATGGAGGAGGGGGGCGGATTGTAGCTGGCTCTTCGCAGTCAGCACTGTGTGGCCTGGCTCCCGCTCCCTACTGTCCCTCGAGAGCAGCCTTCCATTCCCAGAACAGGACAGTCCTTCTGAGTCTGATCTGAACAGAAGCTGGGGCAAAGCCACCAGGCCGGGTTGTTCAGGCTGGAGGTGAGGTCTCCTTCCAGAAAAGTGTGCACATGGTGGCTGGCTGCTCGCTGCGTGACCCTAGGTAGTCCCTTAGCAGAGAGTGCCTCAGTTTCGTCATCTGTCACATGGGGCTTGGGCACAACTCCCATACAGGGTGGGTGCAAGGAGCCAGTAAGTTAGTACTGGGTAAGCACCCAGAATAGGGTGGGGTGAGCCAGTGATCGGCTGTATGGACAATATTGTGCTCTTGTTCTGTGTCCTCTCACTCTCGCAAGCACTAGGTGGGTGGGGACCACTGTGGGGTCACTCCACGGCCCAACGGTGGATCCTGCTTTTGGCCAGCTGTGTTCTGAAGGGCCAGGGTCAGGGAGGGCAGCTGCTCTGTCTTTCTGGGAGAGGGCAAGTCCTGAGGTCCTGAAGGCTGGTTCCTGTTCCAGCTGTGCAATCCTGGACAGCTGCTTGACTGTGCTGAGCCTCAGTCTCAGCCTGGCTCCCTGCTGCACCCTGGCCACCTCCCTGAGCACCCCTAGGTACTTGCTCAGCTGGGGCCTCAGCCACATGGAGAAGCCAGCATGGTGAGTGACCACCCTCCAGTCCCTGACACCTGGCACCTATTCCTGTCTCCTCCCTGGCTTTCCTCTTTTCCTGGGACCAGCTTTACCTGGGCCTGGGGAGCTCTCAGGAAAGGGCTTCCTGCAGGGTCAGCCTAGGACCCAGGGCTCCTCTGGCTCCAGAGCGAGTGTGTGCATGAGTGTGTGCCTGTGTAGCGTGAGGATGTATGTGTGTGTTCACGTGTGTACACACAAGGGTGTGCGCGGTCTTCTTGACTTGTGTGTTGGGGCACTTGGAGTCCTAATTTGCTTTTGTTTTCCTCTCCTGTCTTTCTGTCTCTCTGTCTTCATCTCCTCATCCTGTCTCTGACTCTGTCTTTCAGAGCCTCCTCCCACCTGCTGTCTCTGTCTCTGCCTCTCTTTCTCCTGCCTGTCCCCAAGCTTCCGGCCTTTCACCACCTTCAAATTGAAAACCAAATGGAATTTCCAGCAGATTTCCCACCCTGTGCCACCACCTGTCTCATTTTATGAGCCCTCCCTTGCGCTCCCCTCTGTCAACTCCCCTCCAACCACCACTGTGCTGTCTGGCTCTGTGCTGGGAGGTGATGGGCTTTGGCCTCTGGCCTCTGCGACTGTCTGAATTCTTTTTGGTTCTGTCTTCCTCATATGGGACTTTCTTTCCTAAAGGTGTTGCTGTGTCTCGTGTCCTGATGTACAGTTCCATTTCCCTCTGACCACACTGTCATTAGGCAATTGCTTATCCTTGGTTTCCCGGATCCATGTCCCCCTGTGGGAGGGGAGGGGACCAAAGGATGGCATAAGAGATCTTGAGCAAAGGGCAGTGTGGGGGAGCTCCCAGAGCCTGGGACTAACACAGGGGCTTGGCTCATACAGCTATGTGCCCCCAAACAAGTCTTCTCGCTCCAGGCTTATCTCCTCCTCTTAGAACTAGCCTTTGAGAAGTGTCTCTTTGTCCTCCCAGGGCTGAGGGTTGTGGGGACCCAGAACCCCGGGATCACTGCTTCTGCCACCTGGAGGGTGCAGAGATCTGGAGCCAGGCTTTGCAAGTGTAAATTCTGGCTTTCCCACTCATTA